GCCAAGGCAGCATCATTATTTCCGCAGTTCTATAGGCGCCAACCCGCTGAATTAGCAAGATTTAATAGATTTTTATTCAGTAGATGAATAATATCTCATTTATTTACAGGCCTAAATTGCCCTTTAAATGTAGTAAATTGCACTACATTGAAAATTGTTCATATTCATTGCACTTAGTTGCACTAATTGATCTTGAACTGTACATACCCTCTGTACATATACATTTGTAATTATGTTCATATATATCTGCATACTTCTGATTATTAATAGCAACCTGTAAATATATATAACTACTGTAAATCTCTGTTTATAGTTAATACAACCTGTTTGTAATGTTCATAGTACATCTATCTGTAAATATCACCCATAGATTTTCTATAATTGCACTTAATAACTTAATGACCATTATCCTGCACTTGCTGCTATTACACTCCTGCTTAGACCTTAACTGCATTTCGTTGCCTTGTACTTGTACATGTGTAGTGACAATACAAGTTTAATCTAATCTAAACTGATTTGGCTAGGTAGGATGCAAATCTATATGTAAAAATGTGATTATTACTGCTAATAATATCGACCTTAAATGTTATTTAAGTAAAAATAAAAACATGAAAAATGACATTTCAAAGCTTTTATTCAAGCTATAATAAAAGAAAAAATAATTCTAGAAGAAAAAAATATGTATAATGCAAAATACTCATTTGAAAATGTATTTAAATTTCTTAATCATTTTTGCCTTTAACAGTATGTTTTTAATAATTCTGTCATGAAATTGTAGGGAGGTCGCTGTGGAAAATAACTGATTATATTTCAACAATAGATTTTAGTTCAAAATTAGATTCAGCTATTTTATAATTATATCAAAAAGTTTGCATTCTTCATTTAAATTTTTTTTCTGTGATACATGAGATCAAAGCTCAGTGTGATTCTCTTCGCATCTCTCATCGCCTTTTTGTTTACATTTGTTATTTATTTTATGTATTATTTCCAGTCTATCTCACTCCATTCTAAAATCAATACTCTCCACCTCTCAGATCACTAAGATCAAAATATTTGATGAAACCTTTCTAGCGAGAAACCTCCAGCCCTGTCATTGCCTTAAAAGCATTAAATATCATAAAGCGTCTCTTCTGTGGGCCTCTCAGATCACTTATTGTACAAATCAGTGCTCTATCAATCAGACAGATGCAGAAAGGCTGTAGCGTTTTGCAAAATTGCTGTCTAATTTATGAAATAATGACATGCTGTTAGAAACCTATGCGTCTGCTGTCCATTTACACAATGAATTTTATAACAAGCCGTCTATGAGAGACAGATTCAGCCATCTGGAGAGAGCCAAGCATCTGCTTTCATGCAATAGCCATCATTTAATTCAGTAATGGTCTTGTTTGCTACTTTCTGATCTGGTTAAATGAAAAGTTTTAGTTATGTATGGAAGTGTTATAAAGCTAGATACTTACTCAGCTACATCAAGGTAGGCAAACTGGTGAGAAATGTATAGCCCACATAAAATCTGACAAGTTTCAAATCAGTTTGAAATCGTTTCATGTACAGATCATGATGACCCACTCCTGAAGCAACATTCAGGCATTTGGTGTGTGTGTGTGTGTGTGTGCGTGTGTGTGCGTGTGTGTGTGTGTGTGTGTGTGTGTGTGTGTGTGTGTGTGTGTGTGTGTGTGTGTGTGTGTGTGTGTGTGTGTGTGTGTGTGTGGCTTCCAGAATTGTTGACCAGTGCAATATTACAGCTATCAAATACTCATTATGATTGGTGATCTTAAAGGGTTAGTTCACGCACATATTTAATCAACAAAGACTCATTCTGAAAATGTGTCCCTATATACATTTCTGGAGATTGCGAATTATGTAGCCAGAAATACGTATGGCTGTATTTTACCTTTAAAACGAACACTAGAGGGCAGTATGTGCGCTTACCGTCATTAAAACGGCTTTTCCACTGTTATCAGTTTTTCCAGTGGCTTAGCACGTATGTCGGCGGACTTGTGATGTGATGTGTTGACACCGATGATGAGGTTCCAGTCCGGCGAAGAATGATAAATACAAAAACAAAAGCCAAAAAATAAAATAAACAAGTAAATAGTTTGCTTTTGATTGCTTAAACTTGACTTTTTCTGTAGTAACATCATAAAAGACAAAGAGAAAATGAAAACATTTAAGTGTTTTAAATATAAGTCAATATGGCTAGAAACTATATGCTCTTTCTGGCGTAATAATAAAGGGATTTTGCTGCCATATCCCCAGTAAGAGCAATTAAATTAATTATGCCTGTTAATGATCCCCAGCACCAAGCCCTACACTTGCACCACCTGTTCGCATCTGCATACCATTGCACCTGCTGCAGCCATGAATCGCCAGCAGAGTTCCTTACAACATTGTCAACGTTTAAATAGGAACATTATCAAAACTCTTTCTTTAAATGAGACGCAGTGGAGTTCCTTTAAAAGCATAGTTCAACCAAAAATGAATGTGACAGGACACTTGTGGATTGTTTGCAGAGGATTAAAGGTAATAATTTTGTAAAAATGTCTTTGCTTGTGTGTTTACGACTCAAAAAGGGTCTATAACGTAGCCCTTACCTTTTATTATATGAATGACCAATGACGCATTTTAGCTGAAAAGTTCAATCGAATCTTTGATGTTCACTTAAAGTGAGACACTTAAGACAAAATGTGTATGTATATGTTGCAAGCTTGTACAAATTTATCCACATCTCGACATAAAAGCAACAGAAAAAATAAATCAAGAAAATAATGTCAAACTGGACACTAGTACTATAATCTAATCTAGCCCTAAGTGGCACAGCACCCTCTGCTGATGGCTATGGGCAAATGTACTAGTAGAAATGCTACAAAGTGCCTAAAATCTTCAAGCTTTTGTCTGCTCATTAATAATTTTTTTTAAATCATACTTGAAACTTAGATAGTCAAAGACAACATAATCATATCCATATATTATGTTCTAGTTACTAAGGGAGAACTTTACACTGCAAAAAATACATATATTTCTAGTCCTAATATCTAAAAATTATAAAATAAAGAGTTTTTTTTCCAATTTTATTAAGGATAGATTTGTTTTATTGTAGTTCCTTTGGACAGTCTGTAAAAATCTGATGACTGTTGCCATTATAAAGCAGGAAAACAAAGAAACATATAAACCTGGGATGCTTTGAGGGTAAGTAAATAATGGGATGATTTAAATACAACCCAGGCTCATTCTGAATATGTACCTCTATATATATTTCTGGAAAGCGACAAATACATCTCAGGAGCTAAGGTTTTTTTTCGCAGTTTTTGCGAATCCACCAGAGGCTGCTGTGTACTCTTTTTGAGATCTCAGATTTCTGCTCTTCTTGCATAAATCCACCAAAGGCCGCTGTCAACTGACTGACTGACCGATCGACTGACCCACTGTCCTCCCAAACCAAACCCAACCTACACTGTTTTCAAAAGCACAGACTGACCTGCCCTTCTCCTTCCCTAGTGCATGTAGACTAGACATTGCAGAAAGGATGGACTGTGGGCCTGTCCAAAAGAGGAAAATCTATTCTTGTGCTTTAATCATGAAATACAACTGATGTTTGTACCACAGAATATCTGTAGTATAGTTTACCATTCCACAAATTAAGGCTAATTTAAAGCTAATTTAGCAATTACATACATTCCAAGTTCATGACTTTATCAGTATTTTTATAGTCAAATGCAAATATCTAATAAAAATCCATTTACCTAAAAAACATATTCCCAAATTTATCAGTGAGGAATCAACATTCTGCTTTTGAGCTTATTTTCATTGTTTTGAGAACAAATAACTTGCCCTTTAACTTTTTTTTTACTTAAAACTTAATTAAGTCTTAAAGTCGAGTGATTTTAATATAAAATCTGCAGGCACTAAACAGATTTTTTAAAAATCAGTGAAATCTTTGGCTTCTACTGATTTATTGATCGATTCGAAGGGAGAAAACTCTATGTATATCTTTATGAAAAATTACCACACTTAAAAATTTTTAAGCAATTTTGTGAAACTTCTGATGAGCTGAGGTAAATCATGGGATAAGTATCATTTTTGGTTGAACTGACCCTTTTAGGGATTAGTCCATAGTCAAGCAACGTGTTTTATTTCTTATTCAATGTAACTATGCAATGTAATGTATGTAAATGTAATGGAAAGCTTTAGTTACATGCATTTATATAAAAATTAAGAGAATACTGACAAAACTGATCTTTTATTGTGATTTGGAAAACAAATCATTTGGAGACATTAGACAGAGTATTAAATAGACAAAATGAACAAAAATAACAATGTGCATTATATGCAATAACTCACACCTGGCCATGGAACAGCTGAGAAGCCAATTGTCCCATTACTTTTGGTCCCTTAACAAGTGGGAGGCACATATGCAAACTGTTGTAATTCCTACACCGTTCTCCTGATTTGGTTGTAAATACCCTCAAAGTAAAGGTCACAGTCTGCAGTTAAAGCACATCTTCTGTTTCATTTTAAATCCATTGTGTTGGTGTATAGAGCCACAAATTGTGCCAATGTCCCAATATTTATGGACCTGACTGTATAATCAAGCCCAAAATTATTCATACCCCTGGCAAATTTAAGTTGCTTTAAGTTACTTTTATTCAACCAGCAAGTTTTTTTCCCTCTTAACCAATTTATTTATATATATATATATATATATATATATATATATATATATATATATATATATATATATATATATATATATATATATATATATATATATATATCATTATGATATATAACATTATGATTGGTCTGCTGGCTCACTTTGACTGAGGTCAGCAGGAAAGCCACTGCAGTACACAGTTCTCCAACAAAAGACACAGAGGCTAGAATCAGAGACCAGCCAAAGTAAATCTCGATGTCCTGCAGGGTCTTGTGTCCAGAAATGTCCACAGCCTCTCTGAAGGCAGCAGCATATATATATATATATATATATCCCATATATCCTATATATATATCTGATTGTCTACATAACAAACCACCGTTATAAAATCATTATTCAATGGGATATTTTTAGCGTCACTCTGATATTTCATAATTTTGGACATGGATTATTATTATAATTTTTTAACAATTCATTTAACATAGTTTTTTTTTTCTTGACACAAACGTTATGTAATTCACAAACATTAAATCTGTAATTTGCCCTTAAAGGTCATACGGTTTACAGTAAACCTAACCAAGGCCATCCAAGATGTAGTATATATTTTTCTTCAGTAGAATATTATAAAATGTTTATTTATTATTATAGTTCATTATTATTATTTTTTGAAATTGTGATGGTGATGAAACATTAATGGCACTTTGACAGTCAAAATGATTACCTATGACTTTTACAATATACTGTATGTGAGCTGATGCTGCATCACCTTTTTGGATACCCTATAAAAAAAAGATTGAATAAATAAACAGCCAATTTCATTTTGGGCTGAATTAATCCTTCAATGGAGAACATTGAAATAAATTTGTGCTGACATTTCCATTTTCCTTTAAAAGATAAAAAATATACATGTAAACATCAACTTTATTTTCAGTGTTTGTACTGTATGTCATTTTTCAATGCCCTCACATGGTGCCGTCCTCAGCACAGTCCTGATTGAGTTCATGTGGGATAGCTGTTATTCGTCTTGCTCCTGATTGGTCTGCTGGCTCACTTTGACTGAGGTCAGCAGGAAAGCCACAGCAGTACACAGTTCTCCAACAAAAGACACAGAGGCTAGAATCAGAGACCAGCCAAAGTAAATCTCGATGTCCTGCAGGGTCTTGTGTCCAGATATGTCCACGGCCTCTCTGAAGGCAGCAGCAGAATACGCCATGTAGACACAGATGCCAGCCAATGAGAGCACAGCTGTGAGGAACAGAGCAGATAAATTGTGGACTGAGAAACAAAAAATATAACAATATACATAAATATATAAATTTATCTTTAAGAGCATTATTTTCTTTTTTTGTTTTGTTTGTTTTGTTAATTATTATAATTTTTTTGTTTTGCTTTGCTTTGCTTTGTTTTGCTTTGGGCGACACAGTGGCACAGTAGGTAATGCTGTCGCCTCACAACAAGAGAGTTGCTGGTTCGAGCCCCAGCTGGGTCAGTTCCGGTTTCCCCCACAGTACAAAGACATGTGGTACAGGTGAATTAGGTAGACTTAATTGTTTGTAGTATATGAGTGTGAATGAGTGTGTATCCCAGAGAACGGTTGTAGCTGGAAGGTCATCCGCTGCATACAATGAATGAATGTTTTGTTTTGTTTTGGTGAAGTTTATTTAAAAACTAAATTCAAGAGTAGCGCATGCTTATGATTGATCACAGCTGGTCCCACTTTAGTTAATGCATAATTCACCAATCATATGATTCCTAACTCACTATAAATAGCCAGAGTTTCTTCCTCAGTTATCGTCACCTTGAAGAAACCCCCGTTCCACACCTACTCCTCCCTTTTCCTTAATATGATGGCATAGTGGCCCAGTGGTTAGCAATGTTACACCACAGCAAGAATATCACTGGATCAAATCCTTAACAGGCCAGTGAATGTTTCTGTGCGAAGTTTACATGTTCTTTTTGTGCTCGTGTGTGGTTTGAAATAATATAATATATAAGAGGTAATATATAAAGAGTTTAGATGATAAATGCCATCTGAAAATTTCCTCTAAAATAAGTATTTTTGTAAGGCTTGTGTGGGTTTCCTGCCAGGTTCTCTGGTTTCCTCCCAGAGTCTACAGAAATGCAATATAGGTGAATTGACCAAACCAAATGAGCTCATTACCAGCAGTATATCTCCATAGCAATCCCTATAATCTGTCATTAGCCATAAATAAGCAGGGAGTTCTCAAGATCTACCTGAGCTCAAACTCCCCTCTCGCCCTGCAAATGGGGGAGCCCAGGGACTGAAGATTTGATGAGCTCCGAGCTCTCTCCTAGGACAGCATGCCAAACACGATTTAGAATCAGTCAGTTAAGTGTAAAATCGTGAGTTTTTTTTTTTTCAATTAAGGTTATTCCACCAAAAACTTAAAACATTAATATTGGTGATATCAAAATTAATATGAACATGTCTAAAACATGGCACCTTGTTGTTATTTTATGTAAAAGAAATCAATTTTGATATCAGTTAAACTGCAGCATGAATTCACTTAGTCAGCAGTAGCTAATATAAACCTATAAGAATATAGTCATATTAAAAACTGAATCAATTGGCAATGTAGAACCAAAAAAACACAAACAAAAATAAAATACTATTTAAAAAAATAAGAAAAATAAAGAGAACCCATTTATATAGAGAACTATGCAGTAAAAATTGAAAAGTGATTGACAAGTGTTTGCTATTTATTTATGGCTGTGAATTGCATTATGGGACCTTGATCTTTGCTCTGTCAACTTTTGATTTTACCAAATTCAACTCTAGACTTTAACAAAGTGACTTTCATTTTATAAAAGTTAACTTTTATTTTAGTAGTTTGAAATAATGTTATGTGTATAAGAGGTATTATATGAAGAGTTTAGATGCAAAAAAACTCTAATTGCCATCTGAAATGTACCTCTAAAATTTATTTTATTTTATTTTTTTATCAGGCTCCTGTGTGTATGTTCAGTAATATCACTTTTATGGCAAAGAAAGAGTCCTTTTCTTGGTCTTTAAAGCAAAATATCTCAACATTAACGAAGGAGGCTTAGAAAATTTTCAGATGATACTTAGGTTTTTGCATCTGAACTCTTCATTTAAAGAAATAACTGTAAAATAGCAGAAGATGTACTGCCAGTTTATTACAAGGTTTTTGTACTGTAATAACACCAATCCAGACAATATATGACTTTAAAATATAAAAAATGTTAATAAAAGTCACTCATCAAAACTTTTCGAGCTTAAAAATTGTTAAAATATACATCAAGTTCCCATGATGCAATTTAAAAGCATAAATAAACAACATGCTATAAAAAAAATTAAAAAACTTGAATCCCAAAATACAGAAAACTGCTATTTTACAGCTTAATTTTAAATGTACATATACGTTACCTACACTGGGATAAAAAAAAACATCAGCTAATGCTATTAATATCTATATTGGCATGCACAACATCACATAATTTAAGTATTGTTTTAATTAGTTTATTTTAAACAAGCACTGCAGTTTTCTTGTCTATCAATTTAATTTGTAGCATTTTTGTCTTAGTTGTGATAGCACAGGAGAAACTGACAGGATCTGAAACTGACAGGAAGGGAAATTGGAAACAGACTGGAATTAATTGGGAATGGCACACGAATCAGGACTCGGGACACCCACACTAAAATTGCGATAAATATGTCAGCACACTGACCACTAGACAATCTGTGTCAACTTGTCTACCAATTAGGATAAATAAATAACTCATTAAAGTTATGCAGATTCTGATCGTCATGTCAGTGTTTTTAGAATTCATCAGCTGCAAAAAAAAAAGCAGCATTCTATTCCTCCATCAATCCATCAATGACAATACAATGAGAGTCTAATACTGTACAACTCACCACAAAGGGGATCATTGAACTTTAATGCAGTTCATTCATGCTGGTAATATTTTCACTTTAAAAAGTCCCTGATTTTGAGGACCGTCATCATCAGAGCCCATCAGTTCCTGCTGGTATCTTAAAGAAAAAGGGCTTATGAACAATCTCCAAGAAGTTCATTCATTCAACTTTAATCTGGTGACATTTAGGGGCATCGCTGCATTACAATGAGTGCATGTTTGATTAAGTTCAAGGTGGTTTTAGTAGTAGCTCTCTTTTAAAAAGTAGCTTTTTTGCCATAGATACCGAGTGAATTTTGAAAGGCTTTTATCCTGAGAAAGACTTCGAGAGAACCTGCATTACTTCATGAATGACGCAGGAAAGTATGGTATTTCCTTTTTAAACATGAATCAGTGTCTGTATAATATAGCAGCACCGGTGAAATGACTCCCAATAGAAATCTATTGTTAAAGATCTCAAGACCCATTTCTAAAGTTATATCATGAAAAGGATGCAAAAAAAAATGACCTGAGCAAATGGATCCTAAAAACCGGCATAACAAACACCAGCATTTCAAGCATGAACGCTAGGTAAAAACAGGACTGCTATGAGCATTTTTTTTTCTTTTTTTGGAGGAGACATTCACTTTTTATTCTTCAACATAAATAACTCAATCATGTGTGTTGAAGCTGTGTGATTTAGTTTGCCTACTGCAGTAAATAGGGACTGCCATAAGGATGTGCTTGGCCAATTGGAAAACCATTACGGTGCGCAGCAATTTCTGCTATTTTCTTCTGGGTCTACTGACAATCTGACATACCGACTGAAAAACTGCTGCTTTTATACGTGTATTACATTTATTTTTCAAAGAGCGATGCAAAGCTGAATTTGTAGCTCCAGTCCAGTCGTAAGTGTCACTTGATCCTTATCAGCAATTTTTGTGTTTGCAAGAATGTATTCAATTGAGAAAAAAAGGGCAAATAAAGACATTTATAATCTTATAAAATATTTCTATTTTAAATAAATTCTAGAAAAAAAATAGATAACAACATTTTCAGTTTACTGATCATACAGTAATATGGCTGTTAACTTTCAACTGACAATTAAAGGTGCTGCATGTAAGTTTTGACTCTTCTAAAGCATAAAAATATAATAATATGTTTGCAGATATTAAAAAAACATGCTAAGTGAAAATTCTTGTTTGAAAAACAATGCTGAAGTCAGACATTCTGCTTTGAAAATGTGAGTTACTTTCCGGAATGGCTGTCTTTGTTTTGGTTCTTTTAACCCGCCCAATGCCAGTTTAGCCAATTATTTTTCAGCACTGAAGTTGCCTTCATGGGAAACGTCGTATTTCGTTCATTCAGTCAGGAAGGCACTCAAAGCAAGTGCCTGTGACTAAAATACAACCTCCGGTGGACAGTAGCAGACTCTGAAATGAGACACAGATTCAGAGTTCCACATGAGGAGGTTAATTAGCAAATAATATAATATAGTGTAAACATTAGGTGAGCGGGTAGCACTGTCGCTTCACAGCAAGAAGATCGCTGGTTTGAGCCTTGGCTGGGTCAGTTGGAATTTCTGTGTGGAATTTGCATGTTCTCCCCGTGTTCAGTGGTTTTCATCTGGGTGCTCCGAAAGGGCATCTGGGTGCAGCTGAAAGGGCATCCACTGTATAAAGCATATGCTGGATAACCTGGCGGTTCATTCCGCTGTAGCGACCCCTAATTAATAAAGGGACTAAGCCGAAAAGAAAATGAATGAATAAATAATACAAAATACAAATACTAGGGCAACCACTCACTCATTTTTCTTCAGCTTATTTCCTAGTTTTATCCGGAGTCACCACAGCAAAATAAACCACCAATTACTAAGTCAACGATTTTGAGCTTATCTCTTAAAATCCAGCATCATGTTTTTTTATCCATCTGGTTTATGATTTGAGCTGTGTTCATTACTATGAAAACTGTCTACAGCTCCAGATGTTCAGTCAGGCATGCCGTGAGCAGAATAAATGCTCCGCATGCACAGCACAGGAGGATCAAACAGAGGTGAAAGCGATGGTCCTGCTTACCACCGAAAAGAAGCAGCACCCCGGTCAGCAGCAGCAGTACATACGCTCGTGCCAGCAAACTGATGAAGCCCAGCATTCCTCCAACAAACAGCAGGATCACGCTGAGCGGCAGCAGGATGATGAACGTTCCCTGCATGTCTGGAGAGAGAAGAGGGCTCAAGGTGTCAGTGGAGGTGCTCCAAATCTCAGCTCATTCATACCCATTCTTTCTCTAGCCGGTCAGGCTAATTGGACTAATTGGGAAATCGCTATTTCCCAAAGCAAAACAATCACAGCCAGACGAATGAAGCTGTTAGGAAATTCGGTGCAGTTTTTGGGGATTGAGTCCAATTCATTTTCTTAATTAATCTGTCGAATGCAAAACTTTTTTTTAAAATTGAACTGTTGCTTCTATTTGAATATAAATGAGGCTTATCAGGACCATTTTAAAGAGCTTCTAATGTTGTTTGTTCCCAAATGTGAAAGGGCTTTACCTACACAACAAAAATGCAGAGTTATTTCAACCTAAACTGGGAAAAATATGAACAAAACCAACCATTGGGTTGGCTTGAAAATGGCTCATGGAAAAATGGAAAATGGAAAATGGCTAACAATTAATGGTGAGTATTCATAATTAGTTTTAGAATACTGACTTGAAATAAATCAACATTGTTGGGGGTAAATAGCTTCCCCTAGAGTAAACAGCAGAGTTTTACCATTTTTAATCCATTTAGCCGATTTATAGTTCTAGTGGGAGCACTTTTAGCTTAGCTTGACATAAGTCATTAAATCCGATTAGACCATTAGCATCTTTCTAAAAAAAATACTAAAAACAGTTCAGATAATTTTCTTATTTCAATGAAAAGCTATTTTCTGGGTGAAAATGACTAGGAATTACTTTTATTCTGGAGTAATAATCAAGGAACTTTGCAACCATACCATGACTGCTGGATGTGCAATGATATTTCACACTGCCTAAAAATAGTCCCCAGCTAAATGCAACAAAAATGCTGGGTTATTTCAACCTAAACTGGGAACAATTTGAACAAAACCAACCACCCGGTTGGCTTGAAAATGACCCAGCTGCTTTATTACCCTATAGGTTAACAATTAATCCTGAGTATTTGGAATTTGATTCATAATATTGGCTTGAAAGTCAAGTTTGGTGAAGGAAAAATCATGGTTTGCGGTTACATTCAGTATAGGGGTGTGTGATAGATCTGCAGAGCAGATGGCAGCATTAACAGCCTGAGGTATCAAGTCATTTGTGCTGCCCATTACATTACAAACTACAGGAGAGGGCAAATTCTTCAGCATGATAGCACTCCTCAAACTTCAGCCTCCACATCAAAGTTCCTGAAAGCAAAGATCAAGGTGCTCCAGGATTGGCCAGTCCAGTCACCAGACATGAACATCATTAAGCATGTCTGGGTAAGATGAGATTTATTTGGAAATAATCACCCCTAGAGTTAAACAGCTGAGTTACTATTTTTTAATCTATTTAGCTGATCTCTGTGTCTAGTGGGAGCACTTTTAGCTTAGCTTAGCATAATCCATTGAATCTAATTAGAAAATTAGCATCTTTCTCAAAATTAGATTAAAAATAGTTCAGATTATGTTCCTATTTAAAAAGAAAAATATTTTTAGGTGAATTTAACTGGGAACTCTCATTCTGGCGTAATAATCAAGGAACTTTGCGGCCATACCATGGCTGTGGAATGTGCAATTGTATTACATACTGCCTGAAAATAGTCCCCAGCCAGCTAGGTAACTAGGTAACCATACAGCATGAGAGCATTGTGCCCTGCTGCAGCCATGTATGGCAGCAAAGTCCCTTGATTATAAAGGCAGAATGAGAGTATAGTTCCTAGAAAATCAGCCTAGAGAATAGCAACTTCTCATTTTAAATCGTTCTAAAGACTGCTTTTAACCCAGGGTGAAGATACTGTTCACACCTTTAATTTGAAAATAGTTTTAGTATGAAACCCTGCTGTGGAGCAATTAGCACCGTATCTGTGGTATTAACTCTGCATTGTGGTACAACAATAAGTTTGTTCCATGTGAAACAGGTGGGTTGTTTGCTTGTTGCTGCTGAATGCTTGGCAATCAAAATCCAAGGCTCATGTTATGTCCGTTATGGGAAACACATCATGCAAACAGAAAAGCTGAGAGAAAAGTAGGACATATTAAAAGATGGAAGACGTGTAAACAGGAGAGATCAGGAGATGCTATAGGGTGGCATACTTTGCTCCTTGTTGTCATTCGTTTGCAATTTTGTCTTTGTTTTCGTGCCTTTGCAAATCTTGTAAGGCTTAGCTAGCTGTTGTTGCAAGATATGAAACTCTGTTTCCCATTCCAATGCTCTGTTTTTACATTGTTTTTAATGTAAATATGCACTTGACGAATGTGCATGACCATCAGGATTGTGTCTTGTGTAGGGCTATGCAATATATCATTTCAGATAACCCATATATATCGATATCGCAATGGGCCCGTCCGCAATAGTCACATCACAGGATCTGCAATGTTGAGTTACCAAAGTTGAAAAAATTTTAATAAAGTTAACCATCATGTTTATCCTATGCATTTGTTTTTAAGGTCTGTGAGCATTTCAAGCCAGTTTAAAACAGTCAGGCTAATAATTATAATCATTTTAACTTTAAGATAGATTAATTGTATTTATTTGATGTAGACTATATAGTGATATTTGTTTATTGATATTTTGCCTGCTAGACTCCCAGAGAAAACCATAAAATTCGGTGCATTTCAATTGCATTTTTGCTCCTCTATATTTGTCACTGCTAGTGATTTGGGTTCATTTAATTCATTCAGATGCACTAAACTACAGTCAACCCAATCAATCTAAAATTATAAACTATTTCCAAAAAGAGCTGATCAGTTCATCTAGTGAAAGTATACTCAATATCGCAATATGTATCGCAGAAAAATAAAACATTAATGTCAGTTTTTTCCAATATCGTCCAGCCCAGTGTCTTTTGACATGATGCGCACATGAGTGTAGCATGCAGCGTTGAGTTAAAAGAACTTAGATTTTACACACAGCACTGCTCATTAGTCTCAAATCCAAAGCAGTTTTACTTTAAAAACAAATAAGTCTGTCATGTTTTTAGAAGCAGAGATGCTGATTGCCTGCTGTTCATCCAAATAGCAATTCAAGAGCTCACACTTAGCTGATGATTGATTATAAAGCTTGTTTGGCATGCTGTCCCATGGGAGAACCCTAAGCTCATAAGATCCTCCAGCCCATGGGCTCCCTCCCGTTTGCAGGACAAGAGGGGAGTTTGAGCTCAGGTAGATCCCGAGAACTCCCCTGCTGTAGTAGCTAATGAACAGGTAGTGATTGCTCTTAGGAGATAACTACTTACTAGGTGCACCTCTATGGTGCCAATTTGCATTAGTCAATTAACCTAAGTTGCATGTTTTTGGACAGTGGGAGGAAACCGGGGAACCTGGGGGAAACCCATGTGAGCACAGGGAGAACATGCAAACTCCACACAGAAACGTCGGCTGGCTTGGTAAGGACCAGAACCAGTGACGTTCTAGCTGTGAGGCAACAGTGCTAACCACTGGGCCACCGTGCCACCCATCTAGGAAAGGAGAAGGAGTAGGGGTAAATGGGGGGATTCTTCAAAATGAAGATGACTGTCAAATAAATCTTAGGGTATTTATAGTGGCTTTGAAATCATCTGATTGGTGAATCATAAATTAGATAATGCAGGACCAGCTGCAACCAATCATAAGCAGGTGATCCTCTTGAAATTAGTTTATGAATAAACTTCATGTGTGATTGCACAAATATGTGAATAAGAATGTTAACCAGGGCTTTAAGAATGTACTATTTGAAACATCTGTTAATAAATACCGAGGTATAGTATGAGCGACATGAAATGTGATTAAAGATAACCCAGGATTTTGTTTATAGGGTTAACAATTTCAAGTGTAAAAAGCTTTAACAGAACACCTGATTTGAACGTTATCACTCGATAGAATAGGCGTTACCAGTGGTTATTTGCTGATAGATATGGTCCAGTAGGGGCATTCTGCGCCTACTGGTAGGCTCAGAAGACTGTTATCATCTGTTCACATGGTTAATCAGCAACTAATAAAAAAGACTCCAGATGGAGATCTATTTTTACATTTCTGTGACGGTTGGGTTTAGGGTTGGGGTAGGGGTAGATGTTAATAAACTTCAATTAATGGGAAATTTAGTTAAATTATATAAATGATTTTCATAGTCAATCAGCTATATTAATAGAGAGGACTCCAGATCCAGATCTGTAAAGTTTAACCGTTTGAATGGATGATAACAGCCTTCTGTGCCTACCACTAGCTCATATTTATCAGCTGATAACCACATAATGCCCATTCAACCGAGTGATAACATTTGAAACGTCTGAACAGAATCAAGCTTTGGATAGGAAAATTATCAAAACTTTTTTTTTTTTTGTGGAGATGCTAATGGTCTAATCAGATTTAATGATTCATGCTAAGCTAAGCTAAAAGTCCTCCCGACAGAGCCAGAGATCAGCTGAATGGATTCAAAAATGATGAAACCCAGCAGTTTGACCTCATTGGTCAGACACAGCACATGTCTGACCAATTCTAGCATCACCACTTCTAGCATCCTCATCAATTCATCTTATTCTGAAAGCAAAAGTGTTTGTTAGCTGAATTTATAATTTACTCATCTTCCGATGGCTCCAAACCTGTTTTAGTTTCTTATGTAGAACAAAAAGGAAGATTTTATTAATCAGCTACTGACTGATAGTATTTTTCCCTTCATGAGCGCATACTGTAGCTGAATTTATAAATACAGTCTGAACTCCAGTCCAGAGACAGAAAAGTGCTGTTTTGTTTGTTTGGTTTGTCCACATTTGACCCAACAACCCAGCAATTTTAGTGTACATTTATCTAATTATCTTCATTTATGTTTATCAAAAGAATGAAACACATAGGGTGACTAAATGCTTAGTAAATTCACATTTGTGTGAACTATACCAGCAAATTTGTATTCTTAGACTTTTCTTTTTGAAAGAAGCAGGTTTTAAATTGTGTTAACCTGGGGTTAAATGTGGTGTGAAAAGCTCTATTGTAGGAAATTGCAATTTGTGCCATAGAATTTTGATGAGGTCATATAC